TTTATATTATTATTTATCACACAGGCCGAGCCACGGCAAGGAGCAGGGACACCCTCACCCAGAGCAGGGGGCTCAGAGCCCCATCCAAGCTGAGCCTGGAACGTTTTCAGGCCCGTTGTGGTGGTTTGAAAAACCTTTTCTCCGAGGTGGTAATGTTTGCCCCACTGATAATACTGGACCAGTCAATAGTCCACGTGTGCCCTATGGAAATTACATCCCCACAGAAAGGGAAGAGAAGGTGGTGAAGAGAGTGTAGAAGGAGCTGTGGCCTGAGGAGTGACAGAAAGATTTTTCCCTTTTCTTCTTGGACTTTTATGGAAGAAACGGAGAAATTTAATTTAATGTAAATATATGTGTGGGTGTAAATAAACCTTTGTAGATATTTTCCCCTTCCCCCAATAACGAATGGCTGTGGTTTGTCTGAAAACTCTCCACGTAAGGTGAAAAGGATATCAAGTCCACGCCATCACTAAACCCTCTCCCAGGGGCAAACTGTGGGAGGGGGGGCTCGAACTTAACAATTAGATTCTTGGGAGTTTCAAACCACCACACCTGTGGCATCTCCCACCTCTCCGGGCGACCTGAGGATGCAGCAGCAAAGAGAAAAAAACAAAGAGAAAAGTCCCACGAGTGCAGAAGGCTGACTTTGCACAAGATTCACTTTGCAGAAGACTCACTTTGCACAAGACTCACTTTGCACAAGATTCACTTTGCAGAAGACTCACTTTGCAGAAGACTCTCTTTGCAGAAGATTCACTTCCCAGCCCCCAGGAGGAGCTTTGTTACAAACCCCTCGCTCCGGGGCTTGGGACGTGCAAGAGTTTGCTTTTCATTTCGGGCAGCAGCTTTTGTTTCCAAGGTAAGGCGGTAATTAGCCGAAAGCAAAGGCAAAGAGAGGCTGGTGGAGCTGGTTTCCATCAGTGAAGCCTAATTAGCCCGTGTTCCAACGCGGTGACTAATTGACATGGAGAGGCAGGAGCTCTTCTGTTGTTTTAAAGCCAGGGGAGGAAAAAAATAATTGTTAATTAGTTTAGTTCTGCTTTATCTGTAACACCAACCACAGTCTTGGTTACCGAAGCAATTCTGCCCCTGACAACACGTCCCTCTGCCACCCGGAGGAAAAGCTGTCTTTTCTATTTATTTTATTATTATTTCCTCTTTGTGGGCCTCTCTGAGTGTTCCTTGAGGAGGATTTTACTGGGAGGAGGGGCTGGTGATGGCAGAAGTTTGGCTTGGATTGAGGTTTTGAATGATTAATGACCACAGTATAGAGAAATAGACTATTTATATATATATATATATATATACACTATATATATATATGTATATGTATATACTCTCTATATAGAGTATATACACACACACACATATATATGTATATATCCATATATGTGTGTGTGTATACATATATATATATATACTCTATATATACCTATGGAAATTATACATATATATTTATATCCAATATAATATATAATATATAATATAATACAAGATATAATTATATCTTGCATAATATTATATACTATTATAATTACCACATCAAGACATAATATTATAATCAGTATATTAATGTCGTATTTTATTATATAGTTATATTAATTATATAAAATAATATAATTCATATATACTTTATATAATAAATATATATAATATATACTATGGTATATATATAAAATATAATATATAAAATATAATTATAGTATAAAATATAATATATAAAATATAAAATATAATTATAATATAAAATATAATATATAAAATATAATTATAATATATAATATATAATATAATATAATACAAGATATTATTATATGTTGCATAATATTATATACTATTATAATTACCACATCAAGACATAATATTATAATCAGTATATTAATACCGTATTTTAATTATATGAAGTTATATAAATGTTATAACAGTATATGAATATCATATTTTAATTATATGATTACATAAATGATATAAAATTATATATATAATTTAAATATACTTTATAATATATATATTATATACTACGGTATATATAAAATATATAATATGTAATATAATTATAATATATATAATATAATATATAATATGATATAATACAAGATATAATTATATGTTGCATAATATTATATATTATAATTACCATATCAAGACATAATATTATAATCAGTATATTAATATAGTATTTTAATTATATAAAGTTATGTAATTGTATAAAATTACACAACATAATTTAGATATAATTTTGTATAATAAATATATATATGATTTGCAGGGATTTATCCCATCCCCTGAAAAAGTCAGGCAAACACCTGCAGGATGACAACAGTAATATCCCAATCCAGAGAGATTCCCATGGCACGAATTAAAACCAAATCCATCTTTTAGCTCCTGGGGCAATTAAATTTTGCTTTTAAGGCGTTTCAAGAATAAGGAGGCACAGAAGAAAATTAACTACAGGAGCTCATTTCCGTGATGGGCAGAGTGATTAGAGCTGAAAATCAAAGAAAAATAATGCTGTTGTCATCTTATCAGATGGAAGGGAATTGCCTCTGATCAGCTGTTACGACTGAGGAGACAGAAAAAAGGGAAAGGAGAAAAACAGAGTAAAAAATTAGAAGTGAGAAATATGTCAAGTGACGTGGACATTGCATTAAACTCATTCCATGAGGACTAGATGAGCTCCAGGGGTATGAAACTAAAAGAAAAGCAACTTTAATGGCCAATATTTGGGTTTTCTTTGGAATCCCGTGTCACAAGACAACAATTTGGACGCAGCTAAAATCCCATCTCATTTCTGAGGAGATAAATAAGACTCAAGGACTTCACCCCCACCTCACCTGTCGAGTCAGCCCGGTAAGCAGGGAGGTTTCCAGCCCCTGAGCTGTGGTTTAAGTGACCTTTAAGGGTCATCCAGACCACCCCCTGCCATGGGCAGGGACACCTTCCACCAGCCCAGGTGGCTCCAACCTGGCCTTGGACAATTCCAGGGATTCCAGGGGCAGCCACAGCTTCTCTGGACAACCTGTGCCAGGGCCTCCCCACCCTCAGTGTAAAAAATTTCTTCCACCTCTCTGGTCTCAATCTGCTCTTTTTTAGTTTAAAATCATCACCTTTAGTTTCAAATCATCACCTGTTGCAGAGGCCCTGCTACGAAATCTGTCCCCTGCTTTCCTGTAGCCCCCCTTTAATCACCACTTGGCCGTAACCCCATTTCTTTGCCAGCCAGGTGAGGTTGTGCTCTGTGGCAGGAACTCACTTTCTGAGGGCCTGGTCAAAAAAAAACTCCTGAAAATCAGAATATTCAGAAGCTTCCTCTGCTTCCTGAGGAGTTTTTTCTGCTCCCATTATAGGTATAATGGGAGGTGATTCCACATAAATCACCTAAGAATTGGATTCTCATTTTGGTCTCAAGAGGCCCAGGAGTTGGACTGGATGATCCTTGTGGGTCCCTTCCAACTCAGAATATTCTGGGATTCTGTGATAACTTGGATTCCTTGGAGGGCAGTAGAGGTGGTTCTCTCGCCCCGGGTGAGG